CCCCCTCCAATTCTTTTACATCGCGATTCTCGATCTATCACGACTGGGCGCACAAATACAACATGAAACTACTTCCGATTAATTCGTTTCGCTCGAACTTCAATATCTCCGATAGAAGCCGAAGCTTCGACAATTTCTTTACGACTCTTTCATTACCTTAGAAATTGCGCGTCTTTAAGACTCTGAAACTTCTCACGGTAATTAAATCGCTTCTCGAACCTCGGCTCGCGTTCGAATTATTACCCGACCGGGGTAATAATTTCTGAGTGCCCCCCGCGGAGAGATAATCGATGAATCGCGGAACGTTACAACGGCTGCGCTCTTATGCCATCCGCGGATTTTCCAAACACGGCGCGCGACTAGAGCGCGAATTACATAAAAAAAAGAGAGCAGCGTTCTCACCACGTGCCTCCCTTAATCGCGCGAATTTTTCACTCGACTATTCGGTCGCACTCAAACGCTGACAAGCGACGGTATCGCGCTCCGCGATGTCGCCTGCAGCCGCGCGCGACTGTTTTAAAAAGTAGCAATCTATGTTATGTAACTGGTACGAGCGGTGTGATAACAAAAAAATAAAAGAAAAAAAGGCAGGGTGGGAGTGAAAAAGCCCGCGCAGACAGTCGCGACAGTCGCGAGGTGAAAATAATGAATAAAGCCGAAAAATAAACGATCAGGAAACGAGGGTAAAAATAATAGATATATCCATGTAGGATCATTGACGAGTGCTCGTTATCGTTTCCATCGGACTTTTATTGGCTGTCCCAGTTATACGCACGCTGCTCGCTCCTCCTGCAACGCGACTCGCCCGAATATATGCCTGCCAGCCATCTGCCAATAACTACGCGTTCGCAGACACACAATCTGCATTCGAGCGAATCCGTCACGTCAAGTTTCGATCGAGACAAGTCGAAAAAAATAACCAAGATCCCGCATCGATCGTTCTATCAGAGTGAGATTTCTCCGTTGTTTCCCCGCTCGAATAAGTAAATGTTTGTCCGGCGTTTATCGGCGCGATACACGCCCAAACGCGCGCGCGCGAGACTGCAATCCGGTGCGTCGGCGAGAGATCCCGCGATTTTAACATTCGTATTTCTTATCAAACATTGATGTTGCCATCGCACGCGAGCGACGCGAACGCCATTTATTTGCGCGAGTGCATACAGCGCATAAATATCCAAGTAAATACCGTCCGTTCCCCGACTATCGTTCCCGCCAACTCGATGCTTTAATAATGGACGCGTCGGCGAGAGAGAAATGAATCCGTGTGAAAAATCTTTAATGTTTACAAGTCACAGTCGCGCGATGAGGACACCAGGGACTTTCGGCCGGCAGTTTGCGTTTCGTTGCGCTATCTCGTCCCCCGCTCGATGTTATCCCCAACTTTATCACTCTCTGTCTTCGTGCTCATAGTCGGCATCAAGATGTATTTATCATTTGGCACATGGATGTTTGCACGCGTTCGCGTCCCCGACAGTATCGAGCGCGCGAAAACAAATGTCCCGGACATATATCCGTCGGCGAACGCGGCGACGGCGGCGGTGTCGGCGGCGGCCGGGTCGATGCCCCGACGTGCCGTTTTGATCGTAACGCGTTATAAAACACAGCGAGAAACAAAAGCGCACGAAATCACCCGGGCATTTCGAGACTGACGAATGACGAAATTGAGAAGCGAAAAGAAATTCCCGGCTCTCTCTCCGCCGGTGAGGTGATCCCTCGTATCGCACCCGAGTCACGTGCCATCGACGAAATCTCCGCCGTTTTTCGTGAAAGCTCCCGTCGCAATAAGCCTTAAGGTTTGTACACAATATGAGCACTACGTTACGGTCAAAATTCAAGTTGCACGCGACGCGAAAAAGTGTCGTCTCAACCCCACAGAGGGTATACGAACTCAAACGGCTTATTGCTAAATCGGCACAGTGGCGTAGCCCTCATATTCGAAGCACTTTTGAAGAATCATAGTCTTAGGCGAAATATCCGCAGTCGTGAGTACGAAAGTACACAGAGGATATTACAGTTTCTTTTTTCATATAAATTTTTTTTCCTATTTTACTGTGTTTTTTCAACAGTCCAGGAATAAACTGTCAATAAGGTCTGTCTTGCTAAAAATTTGCTAAAAAAACATAGTAAATTTGGAAACGTAACAAAAAAAAAATTAATATGCACTCAAAACTAGTGTACTTAAACTAACAATCATTGTTTCACTTATAAGCACAATGTTATGTTATTTTAAAAAAATTCAAATTTCGGAATTTTAACACACATATACACACACAATGTTACAATTTTGTTTAAATTTTCTTTATCGAATCATGTAAAACGTATTGATACATATTGATATCTTTGTTTAACTACGCGATTTCGTTTTGAAATTTACGTATCAAAAATTAAAATATTTTTAAAACAAAATATTTTTAAAACAAAAATGTTTTTTTTTCTGTAGCGAGTGTTTTAATAGCCCATTTCAGTACGCAAAATATAAACAGCACATGTAAAATGAAAGGACAGTGAATCACTGTAAAGTTGATCTATTGCTCGATTGTGCAAAAAATCCAATAATTTTAACTATGAAATTCTCTCCGTGTATGAACTCTGTTACGTTCATGTGATAATTTAGAGCATTTGCAATTTTAATTAGAACGATACGATAAACGGCAGTGAAAAAGAAGATTTAAAAAACCACTGTAATAAGCTGATAAGCACACTGCGTAGTTAACAGTGCGTATTTAAAGATTATAATTTGGAAGTTAATTTCGAAATTATTTTCGCCTCCGTCGCTACCGAGATTTATCAGGACGTATATATGAATATTTCGCATATGAAACGGCAAGGCGGGCCGTGACTGCATGTGGTACACGATAAACGACGCGCAGAAAACAAAGATTATATTGCAGAAACCGTTCTGACCACTTTCGGAATCCTCTTTGCAGCAGCATTACCCGGCTTCGCGAGGCTCGATGTGAGAGGAAATTTCGAAGTTAATGAATGTATTTCGCGTTGTTGACGATGAAGCATACCAAAGCACACGTTTAAGTCAAAGACCGCTTTGCTCGTTTGAATACAGCAGATAAACTGAAAATAGTCACTTTGTGTGATCGGACACGGTAGACATGCTCGGGCTATTACGCATCCACGTTGCAAAACGAGACGCCCGTTTCACGTTCGCGAAATTCTGATACCGTGTTACGGGAGAAAGGAAAAAAGAGCCCTATGTTATTCTAGCATAATTTACAACGTGACATGTAAAACGAGACAAATAGATAGTCGATATGAGCGGATTAACTAACACGATCGTTGCTACGCCGATACTCTAACCATTCCGACATTCACGCGTTAGAAAGAAATATATCACAGAGACGACGACACATACATACGGAAGACTTCGCGGCTTTTCTCCTTGTTCTGTTCCATCAGGATATATTCTAATGGGAAAAAAAAGAGAAGAGAGACCGCGAGGAACTATGCACTATAGAAGAGGCGGTTTCGCCCGTTAAAACTGCCTGTACGATGCAGCACTTGTACAAAATTCAAGATTTAAGTCACCTTTGAAACGTCCGGCGAATCCGGTCGGAAATACATGTCTGGCCGTGATGTACGGCGCGACAATTTGAGACGCAATGTTGCGACCATTGTCGCTCAATGGGGACCGTAATGCGAAAACATAATTCCCGTGCCGCGTCCACGATGCCTGTCCTCTTCCCTCGCGAGGCAGACGTTAAAGCGCTGGTTTAATTTTCATTCAACGCGGGTCGGCTTTGTCGTGCGTTTCGAAATGTTTCGTAGCGCTCCGTCGACCGTGAATCGTTTGTCGGCCGCCTGCTCCTCTGAACAGTAGCTAATTAAGGGAACGGATTCCTCTAATTCGCCGTGGCGCAATCAAAGTTCTTGTCAAAGCAAATTTCCCTTTGTACCATAATTATCGATATATATTCAAGAATATATATATATATATACATATATGTATATATATATATATATATATATATATATATATATATATCGTGGTTCTACACACGATGTGTTAAGAGAAGAATTCTGAGGATTTTAGGTCACAAAAATTTACGAGAATAAATTTTTGAGCTTATATTGATTAAGCATCTTGTCTTATTTCTCTCAACTTAATATTACATACGCGCTACTGAGATCTTAGATTCTTATTTTTAACAAGCTTTACGTGTAATAATTAAATAATTCGTTTACTCGTGTCTTTTTTTCCTATCGCTGTAAATTGTCAAGGCTTCTGTTTCCTCGCCGCGGTCATCCTAATCTGACATCAGAAGTGAGAAAATACGTGCCAAAAATTCTTGCAAAATACGTTAAAATAAAATTCAACAAATGATATTTGTAATCAATGTAAAATAATTCTTTCTCCCGCTCCAAAAATCAAGAAATAACTGAAAAATTAACGTGGTAGAATTATGAAAAATAGGTTAAAAAGATCGACTGCATTAATTTTAAGGCAATTGTCAGAGCAAGAGGAAAGTGCTTGAACTATTCTACAGATATGCCCGAACGACTAAGTCATTTTATGGATATTTCTTTATTTCAAAAACTTTTCATATATTTCTCGCTTCTAACGTCATTGATCAAGAGTTCCGTGGTCAAGGACTAGGAGCCTTACTAACCATAAATTTTCAGCATTTTCTAACAGTACGAAAACGACGAATGTTATTTCACTCGCAAGTAAACACTATAAGTGCAATTCGGTTCGTGTCAGAATCATCGCCGCTGTGTTCAGGCGTATTAACATTAATTAAGGACCGAATGAAACTCCCGGGTACGTTCGCATATCGCTCCCACCGTGTGGAAAGTACTTCGATTACGTCGACGTCTTACGAGCGAGCTTTACGGGACACGTAAGCCCAGCTAAAACGCGAAACAGCGATATATCGACGGTACCCGGCGCTATCTCTCCAGACATAAAGTCGCGCTTAACAGCTGCGCCTTTACGTCGTCATTTCGACCGATCGTGTTCACGGTAAACGCCGCACGGGAAAGCACGTATGCGTACACATACACCACGCGCGCGCGTGCACCTGCGCGTGTGTGACTATCTGCAAAACAGCTCGTATGATTTCGAGTACACCGTTAAATGAAAAGTTCGATACACACGTTCGCCATTTCGGAGTTCGCGTCGCAGTTCGCCGTTCGATATCGGCGCGGCGTTCTGGTCTCTTTACGAAGTTCGCAGACTGCAAGTCGCGGGTCGTTACCGAAAAGAATTACACACATCCGCGCTCACAGCACAGTGAATTTGTACGTATTCGCGAGAATCGCGAATTGTCGGTTGGTTTATTCGATGCGGTTAACGTCATCGTGTTGCTGCGCGATCGCCACGATTTCACGTTCGCCACATTAGTGAATCAGGTAGATAAATCAAGTATTTATCAACAAACGCCAGGCGCAACGATGCGTATGCAATTCGCACGAATATCTCCCTTTCGGAAGCTGTGAGTGAAATAACTGCGCGTTTATGAGTAAGCAATTATTTACAACGTTCGTCGTTACGTTTGAATACCTGTTTTTTCACCGCCACATACATACGTCCTGCCATTTTACTGAGGGCAGATCTATCGTCAAGACGGAAGGGCGAAGCAGATTGGCGAATTAATTATTATTGTTCGCAGACACGTCGACATTATGAACGGTATCGGCGAGACCGCAGGAAGAAGTGAGCGTTCATTACTCATTCCATTATCTGTCCTATTTATCGAGGGTCTACTTATTTCTCTCGTATATTTCACGAGCAGAAAAAGAAGAGCTGCGAAAAGTAGAAGATGAATTCGAGGAAAAGGAGCTAGACGATGTCGAGGAGAGAGAAAAAAAGAAAGAGCCGCCGAGGAAAGATTTCAGATACTACTTCAATCGATTCCGATACTACCATTATTGCATCGCTGACAAAGTTGACAAGTTCATCATGGTCGTAAGCATGTGGATATTAAAAATTATGTTTTATCTAATGGGTTATAAGATTGATGGGTTTCCCCCGACTGACGAAATTGAGGAGTAGCTTTAATTTCGACGATAATGCAAATGAGTAACAACTGTGTTATTACTTCAACTAGCATATGCGTATCCTGCGAACGGAGAATGATGATGAAAGATGATATAATTTTGTTGAACGAAATAACTGTCGCGTTATCCTGACCGGGGAATAAAACGCGTGAATAAAGTTGTACTGATAAGCTCAAGGACACGACGATTTCCCTCCTCATTTGAATGTCTCTGACCTGACCCGTGCGGAACTTCCGCACCACGAATGTATTCGGTCGTATCGCCGTTGCACAACTTCAAATATTCACAAGCCGATTGTAAAAGATGCAGTCCAATCTCCGCGAGGTGCTACACGTAATGGAAACCTCTTTGAAAAATTCCTTAGCGTGCCGTTATCCGATAAAAGTTGCCTCGCCTCGGTCACTCATTCGAACATTCTAAATGTTATCTACGAAACTCACGTAGCGCGCGCGCCATTGCTTTCTTCCTAATCCTACTTTATCTCGAAGGAGCGTGAATATTCGAACGAGCACAACTTTTCTCTCTCACTCGCTAAAGCTACGCGCGCGCGAGTGGGTGAATTTTTTAACTCATTTTCCCGCCCTTCACCTCACCGTATGCTAACGTCGCGGAACTTTCTCCCTTTCGCGCTAAAGTCGGGAAAAGCGGAATCGTTTATGTAACATTGATTTTGTCTTCTAACATCGATTGTTACCTATCACCTCGAAGTGCACGTGACGCTTCAGTTAACCTTTCCGATACTCTCTTTATGATTACAATAAAAAAACATTTATTATGTAAGTTATAGGATATATAATAAAAAAGTATATATTATCCACACACTGAGAAAAAATTTATTAAATTTGAAAAAACGTTTGTTTGGATACAACTGTGAACATATTTGTTTAAATTCAATAATTGTCTTCTGAAATCAAAGAAAGAAATTTATATTTAAAACTTCTTTATTTAATTTTAGAAAATAATTACTTAATTTAAATATGTTCACAGTTGTATCCAAACAAATGTTTTTGAAATTTAATAAATTTTTTCTCAGTGTACTGAAAAAAAAATTTAGTGTTTGTAATTATATAGTCACAAAGAGAAATAATTATTATAAATTATGGTCAAGAAAATCATTTTTTTAGTAAATTCTACTATAATTCTATATTTATGTTAATGAGCTTATATGCATATTAATATCATTTTCGTATTAGAATAACAAAAAAAATATATATATAGTTGGGGTTAAAAATAACTCTCACTTTATAATTTTAATTATATCAACCATTCCCTTTTTCTCTCAGTGCAGAGATCCGTAGAAATGCGGCGAGAATTTTTTAAAAAATTTAGTGTGGTGGCGAACGCGTTGAATTACGTCGCAACAAAAAATTGATTGCACGGATGAATTTTGTGGCGGACTCTAACGTTGTCTGCAATCTGGGATAAATGATAGTCGGTGCCGTAATACTCTACATGGAAAAAGGCACGTCAAGACCGGATGGTTAGAGGCTAGCATGCGACAAAACGAATTCCTTTCTTGGAGGCCGAGTCCGCAAAATCGTATCTACCGTAGACATCTGTATTTTATGCCGAGCGTTATGGCTTCGTGGTTGATACTCGCATTATATCGCACATAGGGATATCTTTCTTCTATATGGTAAACGCAACAACGACGGCGAGCGACCTATTTCTCCAGCGAGAAACATTCGAGAGGACAAAATACGCGCGAAGCCATCTATTCCTCTCGAATAATTCACGCGTTTAAAGCGTTTAAACGCTTGACGACGATGAAAACGCGCATCCGTCGCGCATATGCAGAGTTTGCATTAATATTTAGTTTTAAACAAAACACGAATATACTTTTCGCGCGTGATACTTTGCCGTTTAGCGCGAATCGAATAAATTATGCGACAACGCGGCGATGTTGAATAACGTTAATTACACGCACCGTTCACATACGTCGCGAATATGAAAATAATTAAATACCGTCAAACGACATCAATTGCGTGCACTAAGTGGCGAAAACATGCAAATTGAATTATTGCGCACGTTTAACATACATTAACTCTGATGCACGCAAGAAAATAGATAAATTACGAGTGTCAAAATAATGGTGTGTACTTGATTAATATCGCGGACGCCGCGCGCGAGCGCGTGCCCTCACGAGCTAAATGAATTAATTAGGACGTTTAATTATACGTCGCAAGTTATTTTTCACGCGTGTAACGACGGTCAATAAATTCTGCTTGGAGGAATACGAAAATAAACCAGCGATTTGCACGAAGCCAACTGCGAAACAACATATCGTCTTATCATCCGCCAATCATAACGCCTGTGTCTCCCTGCTGACACGTCCGCAATAAAAGTTATCGCCCAACTTTTTGCATTATAACTTGGAATGCGAAACGGCACGTTTTCTTCATGCAAATGCGAAATAAAATATATGTAACGTTTTCGCGAGATAAATAATACACGGCGCGCGACAACTCCCGATAACTTAAAAAAAAAAAATAAATAAATAAAAAAAGAAGAAAAACCAATATGACGTTTCGATATTAATATATATAAATAAATATATAAATAAATAAATAAATAAATAAATTATATATATATATCATGTATATTAAATTAATTTGTATCCGAGTTTTCATACATCTCGAAATAATTATACACGTGTTCGCGTCACGTATGATGCAGATACAATTTTTCCACGGCAAAACTAAAACCTCCAAAGCGCGCAGGATGTGCAGAGTGCGTAGCGTAATATTTGAATATAATATCGCGACAGTATGCCAAACGTGCAAGTATTTCTACCTGTTTACATTCCACAGTTTTGGCACGTATGTGTACGCAAAAATTTAAGCGTATGCACGTCTCCTGCAGCCGTCAGCATCCGCAGGTGCTTCCCCCCTTCCCCCACGCGCACGATAATTTATCAGGATCATTCCGGTGGGCGCAGAACGCGAACGTGAACAGGACACCCGGCGGATTTATGATAACGATAACATTGAATAATTCGCGGCAACGATTGATCGCACGGCCGCAGCGAGATGCACAGCCGATGCGCGACGCTTCGGCGGAATTGCACGAGCGTAGGAATTAACGTACGACCGGGGATTTCAATAAACGGGAAATTTCATTAACCAATAACTTAATCGAAAATTCAATTCGGGCTAAACGATTATTATTCGGTAAAAGGATAAATTTTAAATGCAACATTCGTATATAATACACTGTTGTATATATCGTACAATAATTATTGTGCGCATGTGAAAATATTATGTGTATCGCGAATCCAGGGGCATAAAATTCAAAGGTGAAAGACGCGTTCGTTCGTCACTAAAATACTCCAGCGGAAACTTGGTGAGAATTGTCTAACTTGAGAATTTCCCAACCGACGAAATAATGACAGCGCGTGTATTCGATCTACGGGCGTCGTCGCGGGTAATTGAGAAAAGGCGAGTTCCCGACGTTTCAAAGGAATGACCGTTATTACGATTCGCGGACATTAAGGTTACAAACGACACGTCGACCCACGCGGCTCGATTTCCACATATAGAACTGCGGCATATATCACGCGAAAGCTCGCCTCCGCTACGTGGGTAGAGACTCGAGAGTAACTTCCGAAAGGCCGATAATCTTTGCCTTAATTGAATGGCGAGGGGAGAAACAATGATTCAAACGCTCTGCCGCGCGCCCACACCCCCGGCGTTTCATGCTTTCCGGAAGCTATAACCGTCTGAACGATGATAGAGAAAGCGAAGAAGAAGAAGCGCGCGAGTTAGGACGTAGCCGCGAACGGAAAAACAAGGGAAAAAGTCGCCGACGGAGGGAAGAAAACGTACGAGAGCGTAGCGGTAAATCCGCGTCACGCGACGATTTGCAGTCGCGTCGCCACTAATTACGTGTCACCGACATTGTTTTGCATTTTATCTGACCGCCGCGCTGTCCGTGCTATCTCGTGCAACTGTTAACCGCTATGTTAAATTCCGCGAGCGAGAGTCGTACGTCTCTCGTTGAAATCGAGAGATCCCCGAAGCAATCAGCCACGATTTGCTGTTCGTTCGCTGCGCGATCGCGTTCAGAGCCGGTAAATGGTGTATGTACCGCAAACGGCAATGTAATGTGATGTACATTATGTCGAGAACAGGATTACGTTTCCTAGCTTAATTAGTCGAAATAATAGAATCAGGTCGAAAGGAGAAATATATCTGCCCGACACGTAAACGGATGCTTTTCTTGTTACGACGAATATTAGCTGATGCGCATTGTCGCAAAATCATCGTTTTATTACATCGGAGAAGTGTATCATAACGTCCTATCTCGCAGCACAAAGTGTGCTCATGCGTTTCTAATTAGGAATTTCAATTATACGTTACGATGATGGTCTTGCTATTCGCAAATTTGCGAATAACGACAGTCAAAGGCATAAATGTATATGTATCACAATATGTATCACAATATGTATCACAATATGTATCACAATATGTATCACAGTAACAATAAATGCAATAAAAATATATATCGCATAAAAATATAACATATGAAATATCAAAAATGTAAAAAAATATTCAGATATAAATAATATATAAAAGTAAGGGCAATTACATGATGCTGTTTAAAAATGTAAAATTCGAATAATTTTAATATAATTGGAGCAATATGCAATATATTACGTAATATGCAAATAATATATTATGAAAATGTAATAATATATTATGTAAACATAATGTATATTATGTAAATGTAAATAATATATTACGTAAATGTAATGAAAATGTGTGTTAGATAGAACACTCGAATATTAAATTTATTATTCGAATATTAACACTTTTAAACTGCTATACGCAACTGTCCTTACTCCCTTCGTTATTAATCAATGCAATTTACAACTACGCATGCGATATGACGCTCTCTGTGGGCGTTGAATTTATCACTCACTAGATCCAGCGACGTCCAGTGAAAGTCCACCAACGATACACGCCGCTGCGTCTCTCTGCACCCGGAAGTAGTGTCGTGAGCCCTCTGCATCCTCCGCGCGTTGCCATTGTACTTTGTTTCACTATACTCACGACACGACGTTCGTTTCAACAGTCCTTAATGAACGTTTTATTATATATGAACGCAATTATTATGTGGGAATATTAACTATTATTTACAAGCGTTTTATTATCTAAGAACTCGTTTAGCGAGTTCGGAATTAGCAAACTATTTAACGAATATTTAGTACAACGCGAGTTTCAACACAAGAATACATTCGAGACGAGTTATTATATTTCAACGGTACTCGACGAATAGTCTACTACTTGCGAACTTGTTTAGCGAAAAACGACATCGGAATTGACGAATTAGTCCAACGAATGTCTATATTATCTATAAAAGTTTCGAATATTTTAAGAAAATATTCGCGACTTGCATTCCCGACGCGAATGTAGAAAATTGCGATTCATAATCCGCGAACAAAGTAATCGCGACGCGAATATGTATATAAAAAAATCGCAAATACCGAACGCGAAATTGCGAATGACGTAAATTTTTTACGTATGATAGTTCGGCGGTATCAGTGCGAAGAGTACTCCGCAATATCAGTGCGAAGACTATTCCGCAATATCAGTGCGAAGATTACTCCGCAATATCAGTGCGAAGATTACTCCGCAATATCAGTGCGAAGATTACTCCGCAATATTAGTGAGAAGTTTACTTTCAAAATACGACTGAAAGTTTCATTTAACGAAAGACTCGAATCCGAAAAGCATTATGGCGAGATACGAATCTAAATAGTCTGAAGTCGCGACGATCAGTTCATTCAGCGACGTGTACGCGAACAAAATCTAATCGCGATTATCGTAAGATTATTGCGATATTCTACTACTTGTGAATTTGTTTAGCGAAAAACGGCATCGGAATTGACGAATTAGTCCAACAAATGTCTATATTATCTATAAAAGTTCAAATATTTTAAGAAAATATTCGCGACTTGCACTCCCGACGCGAATAAAAAATTGCGATTCATAATCCGCGAAGTCAGTGCGAAGAGTACTCCGCAATATCAGTGCGAAGATTACTCCATAATATCAGTACGAAGATTACTCCGCAATATCAGTGCGAAGAATACTCCGCAATATCAGTGTGAAGATTATTCCACAATATCAGTGAAAAGTTTACTTTCAAAATACAACTGAAAGTTTCATTTAACGGAAGACTCGAATCCGAAAAGCGTTATGGCGAGATACGAATGTAAATAGTCTGAAATTAGAAGTCGCGACGATCATTTCATTCAGCGACGTGTACGCGAACAAAATCTAATCGTGATTATCGTAAGATTTCCATCTCCATTTCACGACAAAACTAAAACTAATAAAGCTACGAGAAAATTGCATTGATCTCTAACGAAGTTTTAGGAATAATCTTAATAAATACCCTTATACCCATTAACTTGAATTCTTCAAGGAAATTGTATCGATTTTTTAAAAAATTTGAAAAATAAATCTAACATTTTTATATCTATTACTTTGAATTTCTTCTTTTTTCTTTCGCTCACTAAGATATAAAATGGATTCAGTCTGCGTGCCAATTTCCTTGAGAACAACGTAAAATACTTATCACTCACTAAACGAAGTCAACCTCATACTACTGCCCAGATCTGTAACAAAAAATTGTTTTTCCTATCAAATTTATGAATCCCATGTAATGAAAAATATAAAAGTTTATGCAATTAATTTTATGCATCAACCGTTTCACGTTTGCAAAAGAGAAGCAAGATCGATTAGTTTCGCGTCACGAGACATCCTTGTGAGTTTTTTTTTAATCCGAGACTCATTGGAGTCAAGAGCACAATTGGGTCGCTCTTATCCTAAGATACGGCCCGACACAATCGATGGTCAGAAGAAAGGGGAGTAAAGGAGTTTACGACGAAGATGGCAAAGGAACGGTTGAAAGAAGTATGAGCGGAGAGGGGGGGAGGCGAAGCCACTTAAGAGCGAAAATTTTCGTCTAAAGTCGACGAATAAATAATTCTCGAACGAGGCATTTCCATGGAGCGAGGTTCCACCTTTCCCTGGTACGAGCCAGTCCGCGGCCTCGCCATCCTCCTTTCGGATTGTGTAGGATGCAGGGGCGACTTTCCCCTTCCTGCGGGACAGTCGCCCTTATCACCCATTGATTTACATCTTCAGTTGTTCCTGCGGGAATCCGCCTACCTGTCGCACTCCCTCCCCGCCTCCCTTCTTCTCCCGCTGGCGTTTCCGCTGTTTTTCCTCGGCGATGCGCCACGCCGTCGTACCGTCCGATTCCTAGTTTTATTTTCTTCTTCACCAGCCCCAAAGGTACCCTCGCCCGTTCCCACGAAAAGCCGTTCCAGGATTCCCCAGGATACAGAGTTCGCGGCGCACTTTATTATCACGTTAGACGGAAATAAATTAAACGAACAACGTGCTCGCGCGCGACGGCATACGCGGTGTTTTGCTTGCTTTTATAACGCTACCCATAAATCCGACAAATATGCTAAATCGAGATTCCAATATCTGTGCGTGTGTGTGTGTGTATGCACATATACACAGCGCGGAAAATAACAACGAAATAACCAGAGACTTCGGAAAATACGAGAACACAATACCGTAGAAAAGCGAGAAGCCAGTGCAGTCACAAACGCAGTGAAAGTATCGAATTATTTTCATACCTCTTGTCCTCGCAGGGATTACAATCGATCTTCGTCCGCCTAATCCGCGTCTTTCTTCAGGTTTCCATTTTCCACGTAACTGCAATACTCCTGTCCACAATAGAACGCTGCAACGAGAAACGACGCTATTTAACGCTAACACGACCAAATGAATTTGCGATATAAGCGACGATCAAATTCCCAATGCAATATTCCCTGAGCATTTTAACGCGCTCAATTTGACGTCGAGAATTTCACCGATACTCCACGAGCGCTTACGCCGGAAATTCGGAACGGAGGGATCTTAGCAAGATGAGTTTCATTAAAGAAATGCTGCATTAAGAAATTGCTCTAACCGCGGAATTCTAAACCCGCTAGCGTCGGGAGGCGTGTAGGACGAGTTTCTCATTTGGGATAATTAATACTTCTTGCACGATGAGGCGGAACAACCTTCCATTATCGCGTAATGATAAAATATTTCAACCTTTTAAACGGGAAAGCGTACTGGTTGTGTGTGTATATAGTTTCTTATAGTACTGTTAATGATACCACGAATGCGTAACAGTTCAAGATGATAATAGCAATTTTTCTAACAAGCTTTCCTTAACGAGGAAATAACATTAAAACTGATAGCATAAATAAATACAATGAAAATCTAAGTATAAAAATAACAGAAATTTTATATTCTTTACAGTCTCGTTTTTATATTGCTCATTTTCCTGCATACGATATTTTCCTCGTGCGAAACGTTAACCTCATTATGAAAAGCAATTAGAATGATCAAGACACGAAATTGGCTCCACTATGCGTAGTACGTAATTTTAGTAATGAAGTAAAATCTATACCACAGCTTGAACATACAAGAAGCTACTATTTAAGCGTATCGCGTATAAAAATTCCCCTTGAAAATTATAAACAAGCAATTGGAATCTGTTAAAGTATATAATAAGTATATAATAAAAGTATAATAAATATAATAAGTATATAGTAAAAAATTCAACACATCTAAATATATGATGTATTGTCGCCCTTATTTCTGCATCCCGACCCGGCATTTTCCTCCCGGCTGTCTCATCAAACAGATGGAACATACACTTCTATTTTTGAATAATAAAAGTGAGATAGCTTCATCATTATTACTCAACGATATAACAATATCGTCATTATTGTTACATACATTTTTATGAGATAAGCCATATCATATATCTCTATTTCGTTAAACCAAGTTTGCCGAAAGCTGGAAAATACATCAATATTGATCTACAGTAAATAACTGAAGACCCTGGCTTTCACTCTATCCGATGTTCTAGACATATGACAAATTGAGGGTGGCAAAGCGATGGGTGAGTGTAATGGAGATGAGACAAGGTGAGACATTCTGATATTGCGATGACAGCGTGACGCCTTAACACTTTGAGTTCTATGAGCGATGAGTGATGTTCACAAGCTTTGCATTAAAGTGCCTTTGATCGCGCCATGTATCGTTTGATAAATGACACATAGTGCCTTATTAATCAGTGTACTAGAATAACTAACCTCTTTGCAAAGTGTCAATTGTCATTTGCCACCGGTTCGGAAATATCCACTGCGTAAATTGCTTTTAATTAGAAGGTGATTCAAACGGTCATCTTATTGCATAAGATTATGCGAAAAACGCACGATCACTTTTACTGAAAAAGGCCAACACTTTCCCGTTTTTTATTTATCGTAACCAAAATGCATTGCGGCAAATTGCATCAGTCTACGACCTCAGGATGCAACGAGCGAAACGGTACTTTGTCCTAATGTCGGAGCTACTTCGTTATTTCCGGTTACAGCCGCGCTCTTCCAGGTGGTCAACCAAATTCGATTTCCTCGTTGCCTTCGACATTTTAGCTGCTCGTACTGTTCGTTCCCATTTTTCGCGCTTTACCACCGACCTTCCACCATTGTACAATTACGAACACCGCGTAAAAAAAAGGGGAAAAAAAAGAAAAGAGTAGAAGATAACACAGTACCCAGCCGCATTTAAAGAGGACGACACACAAAGTGCATTTCAATTAAATTTCATTTCAATTGTTTGACGTTGCAGCGTGCGTGTCCGCATGAATATTCGTGCCATTTTCTCGAAATAGTAGAATTTAATGCGTAAATACATTTCAGCGTATATTTAATTAATTATCCGTGTACTCTTCTCACACTGACGAAAGAAAACACTCTCCTTGTGTTGTGCACATTTGTACTATAAAATGTTTTAAATTATCATCCACTTGCTTACATACTTTACATACAACGGCCTACGAAATAACAATTTTCTATTATAAACAACATGCATTAATTGTTTTATTAAATGTAAGTGCGATTCAACGTACAAAAATAGTGATTGTTTTAAATCCAAGAGTGCTATTAATAAGTGCTATTAATTCAAGACATTCTGTGGAAGGAACGACGAAATATTGAAGATGACAACAGTAATATTGTCGCTATAAAAAGAAAAAGAAAATTTTAATAAAAATTTATATATATATATAAAGCAATATATGTGTATATATATATATATATATATATATATATATATATATATATATATATATATATATATA